TACCCTCTTATGATCAGGTAGATTTATATTACCATCGATATCACAATATGATTTGAGATTGAGTCTTGTAGTAACAGCATTCGAGTAAGAGTGACGCGTGGATAATACTAGCAAATTCACGTCATCAGATATAGTAAGATGCTCTAGAACATATGTTTTTCCTGTCTCCCAAGGTGATCCTACATAGATATCGTCTTCATTGGGTAATGGTCTTACATATCTCTCCTCATATATTTCTGTCGCTGTAAGGTTTTCATTATACTTAACCCAAGATGGCATTTTTACGAAGGCTTTAGGAAAACCTAAACCCTTTATCCTGTGAGAGGCGTGAGATAAATTTTTATTTTCTTTCTGAATTTTTTCTGCAATAGATGGGTCACATTCAAAAACTTCCCTGCTCTCATCACTATTTTGCTGAAAGCATTTTATGATGAACATTTCACTGCTAGCACATACACGACCGAACTACCGCTGATCCTTGTCATATATGCATTTACATTGTGGACATTCTAGTAGAGCTTTCCAGTTAAAATATATGAAGTTTTCTTTCATCTCTTCCTTTTCTTCAATAGTCCAATCCCTAAGATAATTAGAATGTTTCTGCAAAACAAAGTCTGCGCATTTTTGTAATATATCATGACCTACAATTATTCTTAGTGGATTGTTATTTTTTCTGTGCTAAGTAATCAGGGTCTTACTTTAACCCCTAAGCTAGTAGGTGGCTAAACTCTAGTATGATTGAGGTCATTCCACCCATTATCTAGTGAGAATTGAAAAATGCGCTTCATACGACCTTTTTTGCCGAACCAATAAGGCGAAGATTGAAATTTTGACCTGGAAGTCCTCGATCAATATACTTACCAAATTTTTCACCAGTTAAGGTATATACTAACTCTGTGAATGCTTTGAGTTCATGATGATTGATAAGGAGAGCTGGTGCATATAAAATGTGATAGCTATACTTGCTAGAATCTGAAGACGTAGCAATTTCTAACCCTTTGAGAATATCTTTCCAACCACAGTCAAGAATTTGATACAAAACTCTTATGAAAGAGCAACAGATTTGAATAAATACTTCCTGTCCTTTAATATTAGCTGTTTCCATATCTTCTTTCGATGCATCTATATCAATCACAGCTCTTAAAGGCTTTTAACCGTTAATATATTCATGAATCCCAGGTAAGCCATATACTTCAGAAATGTTATCTGCGATGGAAACCTTTGGGCTCAATCATCTTGATCGATTTTGATAACCAATTTATCTTCCACTTCATCCCGGTCATAAGCATTATATAAGCTAGACCCTT